ATTTTGTCACATATATATTCCTTTTCAGAGTCCAAAACTTTTATTCTCATGCAGGCAGTCTTCTATTGTTTTCCTTAAAAAAAGAAAAAATATATATATTTTCAGTGACATGAATATGAATAATTTCAGAGGCATCTGTGTTATAAATTCAAATAAACTGTGATATCAGTATTCACAGTATCATGACTAATGAAAATTGAAACAAGATGCAACCATATTAATACGTGTAGATAAAAATTTCATACACTGTACACGACATTTAACCTCAAAAAGAAAATATTTTGAACCATTAATGTCAGCCTTTATTTTTACCAAAAAGACAATGTTAATCTTATTAAAGAAGACATATACAAACAGATGAACATGTTGCTATCAACTTATTTTATGATATAAATGGACTGGGCCACTAGCCCTTATCTTACCCCTAAGATTAAAATTTAATAACTCTGTAATTTCTTTGTTTATCATTACCTAATTTTTCTTTTGAAAGGATTATTTACAAAATATACTAATGTAGGAGTAAGGCCAAATAAAAAATATGTGTGGTTCCGGTTACCCGACCTTTCCTATTTTATACCCCCGACCCTAAACTTTTTTTTGGCAATTTTCGTATTTTTTCCAGAATTTCCCCCGATTTCCATCAATGGCTCCAGTTTAAGTTTTAGTTTAAGCAATGAGGGCCTCCTTGAAAAACATATTGCAAGTGTTTAATAGTGTTAAATCCAAAGCAAGCTAGCATGTAGGTGTCCCCTACCAATATTGACTAGTATATTATCACACCACATCTAAATGCCATTTGCAAAGCAGTGATAGGTATTATTTAGAAAAAATTAAGAAAATCATTTTGTTAAAAAATAAAAAAAAAAATCCCTACCTACCTACCTAATTTTTTTGGAAGTGTAACCGGAACCACACATATTTTTTTGTTTGGCCTAATATAAGATTTCTCGTGACCTTCTGTAGCTAAGATACTTTCGCAGAATTGGAAAATGTTTGTCTTACTTGCAAGATAATTTCTGAAAAAGTACTGGAATCAGTATCTATGGATAATTAATGAACACATATAATTAACTCCATTTTCCTTCTTAGTCATCAGGTAACAAAAAGACCAATAGTTGCTGCTTATAGAGCTATAGTATGATATTCAAGTTATGGTTTAGGATATATGTACCTTTCTCCCAGTAGCATGTTGCTGCTCATGAATTATTTCCTGATCTTGGAATTGTAAAAGTTGACAGGTCCCTCATTTTGAAGATAACATGCTAAAATGGAATTTATACTTTGATAAACATTTCATACATCTGGATAAATATAGTCAATGTTTTCATAAATACTTTTGAGTTTGAAGCATAACAAAGAATTATTTTAAAAATACACAATGCAATCGCAGTTAATAGTTATGAATTGCCAAACACCTTTACGTTTGTTTTCTTCACAGTTAAAGAATACTTTAGGTCTAAGCAACACTTACCATCTATAAAATTTAACTCTTGAACTCTTCTCAAGTGTTTCTTCTGCATGAAAGATATGTCAATAAGCTGTTAACTCTCTCACAGTAAGCAAAGTAGCTGGAATCTGGAAAAAGTAATAACACATTTTGAAAACAGAAATGTATAATTATACTGACTCCCGAACAAGTCTAATCCGAGATTCCTCTGACTCTAACCCCTGTTTTTATATCTTGACATGTGCAGGGAGAGTCAGAGCGGAGGCCATATTGAAAAGTGGGAATTCAGCGACACCAGCTGGTGTCGCGACTCTGCCTACCTTTTACAACTTTATTTCGTGGAGCTAACTTCTGAAACGCGAGAACTCAGTAAAGGGATGATTCTTCTACAACTTAATCATCACTAATACGCTGCTATCGCCATTTAAACGTCCCTATCACCGACAAATGAAGCATCACTTGAATTAGGTCGCCTCCTCGTCATTCAATTTCTTTGCGCATGACGTCAGCACACAAATACACAAACAAACTATCACATGAACAAATCATGTGTGGTGATGCTGCCAATTTTTTCCTCATATGAGCATAGAGGCCACTTTCAACGGTTGTTTTCCTTATCAGTAAATAAATGTGACATCATTCTGTTGTTTTCTGTGCCTTTTCACCACACCCTCATGTTTTTGCGAAAACTCCACACGTGTTTTGACCACGTGTTAGTTTGAAACCGATTGGAATTTTGTGTATTTGTGTGCTGACGTCATGCGCAAAGAAATTGAATGACGAGGAGGCGACCTAATTCAAGTGATGCTTCACTTGTCGGTGATAGGGTCGTTTAAACGGCGATATCATCGTATTAGTGATGATTAAGTTGTAGAAGAATCATCCCTTTACTGAGTTCTCGCGTCTCGGAAGTTAGCTCCGCGAAATAAAGTTGTAAAAGGTAGGCAGAGTCGCGACACCAGCTGGTGTCGCTGAATTCCCACTTTTCAATATGGCCTCCGCTCTGACTCTCCCCTGCACATTTCAAAATATAAAAGCAAGGGTTAGAGTCAGAGGAATCTCGATTTAGAACAAGTCAAGCAATTGATAATGTAAATAATTGTTTAAGTAACATTTTTATGATACTATTTATTGATTTTTTTAAAACTAATACGTACAAGTACCATCAAAAAAAACATTGGGATCCCTTGGTCTGGTAAATCATACATTGTTGTCATCCATGGCTTTCTTCAAGAACCTGCATAATTGATTTCACTTTACCTGTTTTTGAAAAATGGACATGGTTTAGAATACAAAATAATATCTATAAAATATAACCTAACTTGTCCTCTATTAAGAACATTGCCCCTTCCCTGGCTTCTAAATTTTTTTCTAGCACTAATGTAAACAGCTAAACATTCTTAACTGTGACCTTGAATTGTTTTTCTTGGTCTTGTTTAATCCATGATCATTTACAGAAAAAAAAAATGGAACATTATCCCCAATTTATCAAGTTACTTATCTAAAACAGATATTCAGAGTAGTTTTTCCTTACTTTCATAAGTTTCAATGTTTCACAATGTATGCTGAAAACAGATTGAAAACGTAAACAAACCTGCAGTGCATGCCAGCCCGGGAGTTCGAGCAGTTTTCCAAGCAATAACCTCCTTAAATCTTCTGGTAGATGAAAAGGTATCAATTCAACTGATCACTGGTTGCATATTTTCGTCAAAAATACCAGAAAATACTGATGAGACCCGCTCAACTAGATTTGAAATGATTGGCTATTCATTCGAATACACAGTGCCATATTTGGGTTACTGTTTAAAGTAGATCGATGAAGAGGATTACACAATACTGAGGTGGAAAACATCTGTATATATGATAAAATATATTTCAGTATTTTAAAGTAAAGGTTGTCAAATGAACGGGACATATTACTGATATTACCTCTTATAAACAAAACCAGTAAGCGTATGACTTATTCAGGGCATTTGCAATGTATGGGAACCAGTCTACAAGGCAACAAAATTCCGCCAAGAATAAACAAAGAGATTGCGGGATGTTGTTTACGTGTGTCACTCGACACTGACTGCAAGGTAATGAAAATGTGCTTATTTGTTGTGTATAACTGTTTCTGTCTTTCAAGATATTGAACAGCAGTCGTTTAACATTTAGACGAAACATCTAGGGGAGGGGAGAAGAAGAGGGGTCACCTCTTAATTTGTTGCATCTACTATATAGTGGTGGTATCAGTGTCAGGATATAATAAATTAAAATGGAAAATTTTGTTATAGATTTAGGACAGCTAAATAACGTGGCGACTATTTAATGTTTGATGCACGGGGGGGGGGGGGGGGGGGGGGGTTAAAAATATATTAACCTCAAAAATGTTTAAACTGTTGAAAGATATAATCTCATCTCAACTGAAAAAATGATTAATAATCTTTCCTTGTCTGATGCCATTATTCCCTTTACCTTGCTGAAATAAGAGTTTCTGAGTCAGTTTACTTTCTCCTTTTGTAGTGGCGATGAGGGGGGGGGGGGTAGTCAAACTTTGTTCAGTTAACAGGTCAAGCACAATCTCTTGATTAAGCTATATAGCTTGAAATAGCTATATAGCTTTATTAAGCTATTCAAAATAGCTTGATAAAGCTATTTATATGCAGGTTTTCACAAAAATGTTATATGTACAAAATAGACAAAAAGTCGCAAGTATTTGACTATTCATATATGTAATATGGGTTATCAAATCAACAACCCAAATCAAAGATAGTTCTAACATTACAGCATTTGAATACTTTCAAGCAAAAGATGAATTTCCATTGTCTGGGTAACTGTACACTACCTTGTGTGCGGTGAGGCATGGATAAGTAAGATTGCTTCTCATTGTAATGAATTACACTGCATGAAAATTTGGCTTTACAAAACAAGTAAAGATAATGTAAATTTATTATTTACAATGCCTTTAATTGGCTTTTCTGAAAAAAGTCAAAGTTGGAAAAGGTAACCTTTACATTAACTTTACATGCACTTAAATATGATGTAATGTCCCACATTGTCTTGACTTTACAAAAAAGTAAAGTTAATATTTACAAACATTAAACACAGTATTTGGGGTACATTAAATCTGATAATTACAAATATTAAATTTAATTAAATAACATCTTTAATAGCCACAAAAGTTTATTACTGTTTTCCATTCTTTTGAATAAAGCTTGTGCATATGATAAAAAAGCTTTTCCTTCCAAATTGAAACTGCAGAAGAGTCTGGACATAATACTTAATATACAAAGTAACAACAGATTGACTTTAACTTTGTTTATTACTATACCAAACATTTTTATACAAACATATAATCAAAAACATCAAATTTCTTGACAGTATCTGTTGTTCATAGTCTATCCTGCAAATATAATCCCATACACATAAATAATATAAGTATCCAGGACAGAGTACATTTCACCAAAATCCTTTTCAAACATGTCATTTTGTTTTAATAAGAACCAATTGTTCATCCTTGAATTTAAAGATTTGAATGGACATGAAACTGTGCTCCACTTTCTTGTTACTCGACATGCATTTTTGTGGAAATCAACAACTGTCCAAATATATATTTTGTCACATATATATTCCTTTTCAGAGTCCAGAACTTTTATTCTCATGCAGGCAGTCTTCTATTGTTTTCCTTAAAAGAAGAAGAAAAAAATATATTTTCAGTAACATGAATATGAATATTTTCATAGGCATCTGTGTTATAAATTCACATAAACTGTGATATCAGTATTCACAGTATCATGACTAATGAAAATTGAAACAAGATCCAACCATATTAATACATGTAGATAAAAATTTCATACATGATATTTAACCTCAAAAAGAAAATATTTTGAACCATTAATGTCAGCCTTTATTTTTACCAAAAAGACAATGTTAATCTTATTAAAAAAGACAGAAACAAACAGATGAACATGTTGCTATTAACTTATTTTATGATAATATATAATAAATGGACTGGGCCACTAGCCCTTATCTTACCCCTAAGATTAAAATTTAATAACTCTGTAATTTCTTTGTTTATCATTACCTAATTTTTCTTTTGAAAGGATTATTTACAAAATATACTAATGTAGGAGTAATATAAGATTTCTCGTGACCTTCTGTAGCTAAGATACTTTCGCAGAATTGGAAAATGTTTGTCTTACTTGCAAGATAATTTGTGAAAAATTACTGGCATCAGTATCTATGGATAATTACTGAACACATATAATTAACTCCATTTTCCTTCTTAGTCATCAGGTAGCAAAAAGACCAAAAGTTGCTGCTTATAGAGCTATAGTATGATATTCAAGTTATGGTTTAGGATATATGTACCTTTCTCCCAGTAGCATGTTGCTGCTCATGAATTATTTCCTGACCTTGGAATTGTAAAAGTTGACAAGTCCCTCATTTTGAAGATAACATGCTAAAATGGAATTTAACTTTGATAAACATTTCATACATCTGGATAAATATAGTCAATGTTTTCATAAATACTTTTGAGTTTGAAGCATACCAAAGAATGATTTTAAAAATACACAATGCAATCACAGTTAATAGTTATGAATTGCCGAACACCCTTATGTTTGTTTTCTTCACAATTAAAGAATACTTTAGGTCTAAGCAACACTTACCATCTATAAAATTTAACTCTTGAACTCTTCTCAAGTGTTTCTTCTTCATGAAAGATATGTCAATAAGGTGTTAACTCTCTCACAGTAAGCTGAGTAGCTGGAGCCTGGAAAAAGTAATAACACATTTTTTGAAAACAGAAATGTATAATTATACTGACTCACGAACAAGTCAAGCAATTGATAATGTAAATAATTGTTTAAGTAACATTTTCATGATACTATTTATTGATTTTTTTAAACTAATACGTACAAGTATACCGTCAAAAAAACATTGGTATCCCTTGGTCTGGTAATTCATACATTGTTGTCATCCATGACTTTCTTCAAGAACCTGCATAATTGATTTCACTGTACCTGTTTTTGAAAAATGGACATGGTTTAGAATACAAAATAATATCTATAAAATATAACCTAACTTGTCCTCTATTAAGAACATTGCCCCTACCCTGGCTTCTACATTTTTTTTCTAGCACTAATGTAAACAGCTAAACATTCTGAAACTGTGACCTAAAATTGTTTTTCTTGGTCTTGATTAATCCATGATCATTTACAGAAAAAAATGGAACATTATCCCCAATTTATCAAGTTACTTATCTAAAACACATATTCAGAGTAGTTTTTCCTTACTTTCATCAGTTTCAATGTTTCACAATGTATGCTGAAAACAGATGGAAAACGTAAACAAACCTGCAGTGCATGCCAGCCCGGGAGCTCGAGCAGTTTTCCAAGCAATAACCTCCTTAAATATTCTGGTAGATGAAAAGGTTCAATTCAACTGATCACTGGTTGCATATTTTCGTCAAAAATACCAGAAAATACCGATGAGACCCGCTCAACTAGATTTGAAATGATTGGCTATTCATTCGAATACACAGTGCCATATTTGGGTTACCGGTGTGACTAAAATGGGTAGTAAAACCCGGGCCGGGCCGTGAATTTTGGAACTGAAAACCGGGTTTTTGCTAATAACTGAAAAAATACTTAATTATTTGTCATGAAACTTACAGATATAATTAAATACATTCATTTATTTTCTCCATTTGTTGATTTATTTTATTTTTTTTTTTTTGGGTGGGGGGAGTTAGGTTACTTTTTTTTTTTTAATAAATTCTATATTATTCTCTGCACCCGGTTATCTGATGGCAATTTTTTCGGAATGTTCCAGTTTGTCCCGGGCAAACGCGTCCGGTTTTGGACTGTCCCGGGTATCAAAACTCGGCGTTTATTTTAATTATCGACATTAATTTTTGCAATTGTCGTAATATTTAAGTTCTTAAAGTTAATAAACAATGATAAAACACAAAGACATCCAATTTTGAGTTTAATTAGCTTTAAAGCACCAAAATGAATAAACCGGGCTTACTACCCAATTTAGTCACCGAGAAAATGACAATCGTTAATAATAATTGAACAATATAATATTTGGTGTTAAAACTCTCAGCGAAGACACATTTTGTTGTATTAAATTACGTCTGTAAGTTACGTGCTGAAGAATTAAGTATTTTTTCAGTAATTAGCGAAAACCCGGTTTTCAGTTTCAAAATTCCCGGCCCGGCCCGGGTTTTACTACCCATGATTGGCTATTCATTCGAATACACAGTGCCATATTTGGGTTACTGTTAAAAGTAGATCGTTCGTTTTGAATTCGAGAAGACTTGGATGAAGAGGATTACACAATACTGAGGTGGAAAACATCTGTATATATGATAAAATATATTTCAGTATTTTAAAGTAAAGGTTGTCAAATGAACGGGACATATTACTGATATTACCTCTTATAAACAAAAATAATAAGCGTATGACTTATTCAGGGCGTTTGCAATGTATGGGAACCAGTCTACAAGGCAACAAAATTCCGCCAAGAATAAACAAAGAGATTGCGGGATGTTATTTACGTGTGTCACTCGACACTGACTGCAAGGTAATGAAAATGTGCTTATTTGTTGTGTATAACTGTTTCTGTCTTTGAAGATTTTGAACAACGTCGTTTAACATTTAGACGAAACATCTAGGGGAGGGAGGGAAGAAGAGGGGTCACTTCTTAATTTGTTGCATCTACTATATAGTGGTGGTATCAATGTCAGGATATAATAAATTAAAATGGAAAAAAAAGCATAATAAAAATTTTGTTATAGATTTCGGACAGCTAAATAATGGGGCGACTATTTTTTGTTTGATGCGGGGGGGGGGGGGGGGCTTGGGTTGGGTTAAAAATATATTAACTTCAAAAATGTTTAAACGATATAATCTCATCTCAACTTAAAAAATGGTTAATAATCTTTCCTTGTCTGATGCCATTATTCCCTTTACCTCACTGAAATAAGAGTTTCTGAGTCAGTTTATTTTTTCCTTTTGTAGTGGCGATGGTATCGGGTGGTTACGTTCAGATTCCGTGTTCGACCCGCGTGGTTACGACCCAAGTGGGTTCGACCTACTCTAGATCTCATGTCAATACCTGAGTACAGGGGTACACACTGTGCGGTAAACAAATGGATATTCGGTAGCTGTATATTGCATGGCTTCAGAAATGTACGTGTCAATAGGTCGTTGTTTCCTTATGTGTAGTCAACATGCAGTCAGATGGCTTCCTTACATTTTTTTTCTACTATCGCGGAGCATGGATGTTATTAATTTGATTTAGTAATGAATTATATTTGAACAGTTTTCCATAAAAATTAATCAAATACTTCTTCAAATGTACCGTGATCACATTTGCACTATCTAAACAATGTACGTTGCTCTAAATTAAATTACACACGATAATTAACACTATTTAAATGATTAAAATATACTTAGTCGATATAAAAAAATGTAGACGAAAAAATAAAATGTAAAACTTTTGAAAGTGTTAACTAATTTCGTTCTGAAGCAAATAATTGTTAATTAATTGCTTTGGAACGAAACCACTCGGGTCGAACATGGATTCGTGTCGAAACCACGCGGGTCGAACAAGTAATCGGAACGTAACCACCCGCATTCGTGGCGATTGGGGGGGGGGGGTCAAACTTTGTTCATTTAAGATAATCGTAAATAATCTGTCCCTGATTATTAAGGAAATAAAATATTCTGTTCATCACTGACTGGAAAATAATTAATCAGACTTAGCTGTCAAAAAAATTACCTTTTCATAATTTTAAATTTATCTTTTGTAGAAACCGAGTGGAGAGCTAATGCATGGTGCTAAGTATGGAAAGGTCTCTTGTGGTTTGGTTGTGCCAGAGACATATGTACATTATTTCCATGTTGGGTAATGTCCTTAAGAATGGAATTTTTTTTCAAATACAAGGGACATGACTTTTTCATACATTATCACTGTACAGAGATCAAAATATTTTTAAACATTGTGAGATACTCACTACATTTTTCCATCTTCAGAAAAGTATTTAAATTATTTTCTCACATTTTTTAAAGAGACCAGTATGGTGAAGAGATTTTTTAAAATTTTAATTTTGAATTTGGATATTATACAGGTCAGAAGTCTTGGTACACTTTGGGTGAGTGGCAGTTGGGAAGATGGATGACCTTCAGATAATTTGAGATGAAGAAGTTCTTTTAAATGATTGAAAGTGATCATCATAGAATCAACTCCATTATGAAGATAAATTATGAGCAAGTCAGGTGAGGAAATGACTTCAATGTGTTATCAAATTGTGTAAATGAATCTTCATTATTAAGATCTTTTACATTTTATTTTTATATTTGAACTTGTTTTTCTATTATTCTAAACTTCCAAAAATAAAATTAAAGTAGTTAAAGCATGCTACAAACATTTAAAGTATCTTGGCAAGTTTTCAAGGTTATTGCAGAAGTGCTTTAATTTCAAAAGATAACTAATTAATGCAAACCTGAAAAAGAGATGGATGTTATTCTCTATAATTTCGAAGATTATGTTTATTATTAGCACTCCTTTTGTCCAACACCTGAGAGATCTGAGTACCCAGCCTACTGTTGAATTAATTGGTGACCAAGAAAAGATGACAGAGAGGGGAATCAAAAGTGGATGCCATCTTGATCAAGAATATATACACTGACTAGAAAATATCTGAAAATATATAGATGAACATTCAAGCATTTATAATAATGAAAGTTATTCAGCAAGAGAGTTTTTGCACAAGTTTAATTTTCAGTAAAATTGTGTATATTGTGCACTGAGGAACTTAGTATGTAACTCATTATGATTATCCATTTCTTTAGAGGATTTATTCAGAGTATATTTAAACAATCATTATCTTCTAGAAAAGAGCACACAAAACTTTTCTCTCTGTGCGAAGCATGACACATATGCATACACTCCAACATTTACCACAACCACAGTTATATATTTTCCAAGGCGTGTGAAGTTGAGCACATACATGAAAATGTGTGAAGCTGGACACATATGCAAACACACAAGCATCTATCACAACCAATTACATATTTTCCAAGGCGTGTGAAGTCGAGCACATACATGAAAATGTGTGAAGCTGGACACATATGCAAACGCATGAGCATCTATCACAACCAATTACATATTTTCCAAGGCGTGTGAAATCAAGCACGTACATGAAAATGTGTGAAGCTGGACACATATGCAAACACACAAGCATCTATCACAACCAATTACATATTTTCCAAGGCGTGTGAAGTCAAGCACATACATGAAAATGTGTGAAGCTGGACACATATGCAAACACACAAGCATCTATCACAACCAATTACATATTTTCCAAGGCGTGTGAAGTCGAGCACATACATGAAAATGTGTGAAGCTGGACACATATGCAAACACTCAAGCATCTATCACAACCAATTACATATTTTCCAAGACGTGTGAAGTCGAGCACATACATGAAAATGTGTGAAGCTGGACACATATGCAAACACACAAGCATCTATCACAACCAATTACATATTTTCCAAGGCGTGTGAAGTCGAGCACATACATGAAAATGTGTGAAGCTGGACACATATGCAAACACACAAGCATCTATCACAACCAATTACATATTTTCCAAGGCGTGTGAAGTCGAGCACATACATGAAAATGTGTGAAGCTGGACACATATGCAAACATACAACATCTTCCACAACACCAGTTACATATTTTCCAAGGCGTGTGAAGTCGAGCACATACATGAAAATGTGTGAAGCTGGACACATATGCAAACACTCAAGCATCTATCACAACCAATTACATATTTTCCAAGGCGTGTGAAGATGAACACGTATGCAAACATAATCTCCTACCACAGACACAATACACGTAACATTTAGTCCAAAGTATAAAGTAAAGCTCAAACAGGCTCACTGCGTGAAGCTGGACACATGCATTTGTGCATCTTGCAAAACTACATCTGAACCTATATTGTAATAGGTGTTTAAGCAATTTTGTTTATTTTGTGAATATGTAAATTGCACCAGTATGCTTACAAGATGTCAACATTATTAACCTGTACATAAGTACTCATTAGACAGCCTTTAATAGTTTAAGTTGGAAATACTAGTACTTTGCCTGATTTATGTTCTGTAGTTCCTCATCAGTGATCTTGAGTAATAACTGAGTATGGCATTTTTAGTTCCATTTAAACTGCAAAGTTTTAACACATGTACATCCACCATAAAGGATAAATAATATTGTATTGTATTATAACCTTTTTAATTTTATTCTTTGTCATTTTATTGCCTGTTCAAGTAAAAGATATAATCTTGTAATGTTTGTAACTGTTTTTGGTAGATATTTATGAAGCAGAAATTATAACAGAAAAGGTTTCAATATATCTACACTAAAAGCAAATTAAAAAGAGTTCTCCATCTATCAGATATCAGCAAATCAGATAAGTTAAAGGTTAAGTCGTAGGGAATTTAAAAGTTATTATATCTATATTCTGATATCTGATACCATTTTTACATTTTTGATTGTCCATCTACAGTATACAAAAATAGTATAATTTTTTATATTTTGTAGATGGCAATCTCTAATACGAAATACAACTGGAAATTGATATAACGCTTGAAAATATGTGTATTTTTAGTAAGATCGAGTTTAACAAAAATGGCCTGGGGGTATCACAATAGACACATCAGATACCTATTTATTTTAAAAAGTCAAAAACCATTTGTTGAAATCTTAAGTAGAGTGTATTAAACAAAAACCAGTATTTAATTAAGGATTTAAAAAAGTTTCATATATATATATATATATATATATATATATATATATATATATATATATATATATATATATAAGTTTTATATATATATCAACTTTAATGCAGCATTAAAGGTGAAAGGTTAAATTTAATTACCTTTTTGTTTAAGTAAAGGTTACCTTTTCAGCTTTACTTTTTGTAAAGTTAATACAAAGATGACCTTGCTTTTTGGAGCACCTTTAATGAGATTTACTTTGCAAGTAAAGTTTTGTAAAGGTGTTTTTTCAAGCAGTGTTATTACCAATCAATTATCTTGTTGACCGTAATTGGCCTCCTTTATAATTTCATTGAAGAAGTAACTGTATCAATTGCTTTATATAGCCCCAAATCTTTTAGAACTTTTAGTACAAAGTCTCTTTAGGAGATGCAATTTGATGAGTGATTTTTACATGCATTATTTTCATAAGAGTTCAAGGTTGAATATCATCACTGCACCAAGGTGTGACTTTTTGTGCATACTTGGAAAATAACACATTTGAGAAAAAAGTGTGATAAAATAGCTAAATCAAGCTATTCTGAATAGCTTAATAAAGCTATGTAGCTAAATCAAGCTATATAGCTTAATCAAGAAATTGTGCCGGACCTGTTTAAGATAAACATGAATAATCTGTCCCTGATTATTAAGGAAATCAAATATTCTGTTCATCACTGACTGGAAAATAATTAATCCGACTTAAAAAAAATTACCTTTTCATAATTTATCTTTTGTAGAAACAAAGAGTGGAGAGCTAATGCATGGTGCTAAGTATGGAAAGGTCTCTTGTGGTTTGGTTGTGCCAGAGACAAATGTACATTATTTCCATGTTGGGTAATGTCCTTAAGAATGGAATTTTTTTCAAATACAAGGGAATGACTTTTTCATACATTATCACTGTACAGAGATAAAAATATTTTTTAACATTGTTAGATACTCACTACATTATTCCATCTTCAGAAAAGTATTTAAATTATTTTCTCACATTTTTTAAAGAGACCAGTATGGTGAAGAGATTTTTTAAAATTTTAATCTTAAATTTGGATATTATACAGGTCAGAAGTCTCGCTACACTTTGGGTGAGTGGCAGTTGGGAAGATGGATGACCTTCAGATAGTTTGAGATGAAGAAGTTCTTTTAAATGATTGAAAGTGATCATCATAGAATCAACTCCATTATGAAGATAAATTATGAGAAAGTCAGGTGAGGAATTGACTTCAATGTGTTATCACAGTGTGTAAATGAATCTTCATTATTAAGATCTTTTACATTTTATTTTTATATTTGAACTTGTTTTTCTATTATTCTAAACTTCCAAAAATAAAATTAAAGTAGTTAAAGCATGCTACAAACATTTAAAGTATCTTGGCAAGTTTTCAAGGTTATTGCAGAAGTGCTTTAATTTCAAAAGATAACTAATTAATGCAAACCTGGAAAAGAAATGGATGTTATTCTCTACAATTTCGAAGATTATGTTTATTATTAGCACTCCTTTTGTCCAACACCTGAGAGATCTGAGTACCCAGCCTACTGTTGAATTAATTGGTGACCAAGAAAAGATGACAGAGAGGGGAATCAAAAGTGGATGCCATCTTGATCAAGAATATATACACTGACTAGAAAATATCTGAAAATATATAGATGAACATTCAAGCATTTATAATAATGAAAGTTATTCAGCAAGAGAGTTTTTGCACAAGTTTAATTTTCAGTAAAATTGTGTATATTGTGTACTGAGGAACTTAGTATGTAACTCAATATGATTATCAATTTCTTGAGAGGATTTTTTTGGAGTATACTTAAATAATCATTATCTTCTAGAAAAGACCACACAAAACTTTTCCAAGGCGTGTGAAGTCGAGCACATACATGAAAATGTGTGAAGCTGGACACGTATGCATACACTCCAGCATTTACCACAAGCACAGTTACATATTTTCCAGGGCGTGTGAAGTCAAGCACATACATGAAAATGTGTGAAGCTGGACACATATGCAAACACACAAGCATCTATCACAACCAATTACATATTTTCCAGGGCGTGTGAAGTCGAGCACATTCATGAGAATGTGTGAAGCTGGACACATATGCAAACACACAAGCATCTATCACAACCAATTACATATTTTCCAAGGCGTGTGAAGTCGAGCACATACATGAAAATGTGTGAAGCTGGACACATATGCAAACACACAAGCATCTATCACAACCAATTACATATTTTCCAAGACGTGTGAAGTCGAGCACATACATGAAAATGTGTGAAGCTGGACACATATGCAAACACACAAGCATCTATCACAACCAGTTACATACATGTATTTTCCAAGGCCTGTGAAGTCGAGCACATACAGGAAAATATGTGAAGCTGGACACATATGCAAACATACATCTTCCACAACAACAGTTACATATTTTCCAAGGCATGTGAAGTCGAGCACATACATGAAAATGTGTGAAGCTGGACACATATGCAAACACTCAAGCATCTACCACAACCAGTTACATATTTTCCAAGGCGTGTGAAGATGAACATGTATGCAAACATAATCTCCTACGACAGACACAATACACGTAACATTTAGTCCAAGTATAAAGTCAAGCTCAAACAGGCTCACTGCGTGAAGCTGGACACATGCATATACTTATTCATCTTGCAAAACTACATCTGAACCTATATTCTAATAGGTGTTTAAGCAATTTTGTGAATATGTAAATTGCACCATTATGCTTACAAGATGTCAACATTATTAACCTGTACATAAATACTCATTAGATAGCCTTTAATAGTTTAAGTTGGAAATACTAGTACTTTGCCTGATTTATGTTGTGTAGTTTTTTGTCAGTGATCTTGAGTAATAACTGAGTTTGGCATTTTTAGTTCCATTTAAACTGCAAAGTTTTAACACATGTACATCCACCATAAAGGATAAATAATATTGTATTGTATTTTAACCTTTTTAATTTTATTCTTTGTCATTTTATTGCCTGTTCAGGTGAAAGATGTAATCTTGTAATGTTTGTATCTGTTTTTGGT